TATATATATATATATATATATATATATATATAAACATTTTTTTTTATTTTTTTTTTTTAATTACTTCAGTACATAAAGCTAAAATAAATGAAAATGAGAAACTTTGCCTTGGCAACTAGCTAAAATAATTTCATAATTTTTATAAAGTATGAGGTTTTTTATATTTATAGTATAAAAGAAAGTATAAAAAAAATTAAGTAAAATTCATTATTTTATTGTATTTCAGTTAATGTTTTTTTTTTTTTTTTTTTGGTTTTAGTTTTCATTTTACTTAACTATAATAACCGTGGTTTGAGATGTCTTAAGATAAAATGTTAACCTTTAATGACTAATTTTCCTGTAAAACGGCAGAAAGCTGTGTCTTTGTTGAGTCTGCCCCTCTGCCTTACTTTTTGTGAGAAAAAGACAAATTCTTATGCAGATTGCTCTGCAGTGTTTCACTAGGCCACTAGGTGGCAGGTGACTTTGACTATTTTTTCCCCTAGTTTTGTGTCTATCAGTCTTTGCACCTGTGATTTGTTCTGTTGTGTTCTTGAGCTGGTGTTTAACACAGTTTGAAGGTGATCCTGTATTAGTTTGTTTTGATTTGACAGTAGAGTGATTGTGAGTAGCATAAAACTTTTATATGAACTGCACTCCACTGTTCATAAAGCCTCTGTATGTGTGTCGATTATGGCCAGGCCTCGTCACCTGAGTCCCGTCTGTGCTGAGCTGCAGTCGCAGGTGTTGAGCTGCTACAGACTGAACAGACACCAGACGCTGCACTGCTCACACCTGGCCAAAGACTACATCAACTGCATCAACACCTCCAAGAAGGTGCGTGTGGGATCTGTGTGCTTTTATTAGGGATGCACGATATTGCAAATTATTATTATTATTGTATATAACATTATAGAACAATGCACAGTCAACCAGTCATTAACTGGTCAAAAATAAACAATGATGGTACAGTGTATTTTTTAAAATAATTTATTTACTATTATAGTGTTTATTTATATTTTAAATTTATTAATTTATTAATATTTTGCTTTATTTATTTTTACGTTTTAGTAATTTTGTGATTTGCTTTTATAATTTTTTTATTAGTTTTTTTTTTATATTTCTATTTTATATTATTATTTCAGTTAGTTGCCAAAGATTTTTTTTATTTTTTTTTTTGTTGAAATTTTTATGTATTTTATTTCAGATTTATTTTAATCACCAAAATGTTTTATTAGTTGTAGTTTTAGTTAATAACATCACTGTGATGAGGTGATCAATACTCTGTTGTGTAGCAGAGACAAGTTAATTCTATAACTGACCAATCAGAATCAAGTATTCTCGAGCGTGGTGTAATAATAACAATTGTAAATGTACAGTTGAAAAGATGAAAAACTGTTTAGTACTTTTTTAACCAGGCATAGAAAAAGAGTTTACTGTTTAATATGTAAGAAACCAGCCCTGAAGATATTGGCAATTAGAGTCTTATCAGACCCACGCTGATAATAATACACCATGATAATACTGGCCGCGAGTGAAATTTAATTCATATTTCTCTGCATTGTGTAACGAAGAGCTTGTTCATTTTAAAACATGCCAGAGTCATTTTCTCTGCAGGAAATAAGAAGCAGCGTCCACTGCTGTGTGTGATGAGTGTGTGTGTGTGAATGAGCAGATTTTATACCAGACTCATTTTAATACTGGATCATTCATGCACCTCACACACAGCCAGATAACAACAGCTTTTATTAGAGATGATTTCTGTGTGTGTGTGTGTGTGTGTGTGTGAGAGTGTGTGTGAGTCTGAGTGTGAGTCTGAGTCTGAGTCTGAGTCTGAGTGCGAGCGCGTGTGAGTGTGCGTGTGCGTGTGTGTGTGTGAGTGTGTGCGTGTGCGATTGTGAGCGTGTGTGTGTGTGTGTGTGTGTGTGAGTGTGTGAGTGTGTGAGAGTGTGTGAGAGTGAGTGTGTGTGTGAGAGTGTGTGAGTGTGTGTGTGTGTATGTGTGTGTGTGTGAGTGTGTGTGTGTGAAGCTGGCGCAGTGGCTGTATGGCAACTAGAGCGGGCAAACTGCCACGCTTCTACTGAAGTGAAACACAGTGCTAATGAAAGACATTCACATTCAAAAGAATCGTCTACAACTAAAGACTGAGCGGAGCTCTCCAGCACTGAAGACTGAGCATTCACACCCAAACACTAGACTGATATAAACACAGACCCACTCGATATCACCGTCATACTCTGCTATGGGATGATATATAGTTTCTTTGTAGTTAGTTTAGTGTTAAAAAAATCGTTTTCTTCAATTTTTTGGCCTGTTTAGCCTTTATTTGAGAGGACAGTTGAAAGAGTTTAAATTGACATAGAAAGTCGAAATCATGATATAAACTATTATGGAATAAAAGGTTGAAATTATGACACCTCTCAATTGCAAAAAAAATATTTTTATCTCATAATTTTGATCTTTTATCTCATAATTTTGAATTTATCATAATTATCAACTTTTTATCTCACAAATATTTTTATTGCATTATTTCAACTTTTTATCTCAGAATTTATTTTTTATCTCATAATGTTAAATTTGTATCTCATAATTATGGCTCATCATTTTGACATTTATCTCATTATGACTTAGCCATAATTATGACAAAAAGTCCAATTTTGACAATTATGAGATATAATTGTCAAAATTTGAATTTTTGTCATAATTATAGCTTTTTATCTCATTATTTCAACATTTTATCTCATAATTATGACTTTATCATAATTGTGTTTTTAATCTCATTGGTTTTTTAAATGTCAATTTGAAACGTTTATCATAATTATGACTTAGTATCTCACTGTTATCAAAATTTTATCAACAAAAAAAAAATGTTATCTCAATTTTGGCCTCTTAACTCATAATCTTGATTTATTTCATAATTTCAACTTTTTTTAATCTCACAATTGTTTTTATTTCATCATTTAAAATGTTATCTCATAATTGAATTTTCATCTCATAATTTAAACTTTTATTTCATAATTATGACTTACTATCTCATTTTGACATTTATCTCATTATGACTTGGCATCTCATAATCAATCTCATAGTATCTCATAGTTATCTCATAATTATGACTTTGTATCTCTTAATTTCAAACATTTATCTCATAATTGTAATTATGACATCATTTCATAATTATGATTTATCACCCAAAACACGCTAACATTAGCTATGTTTCCATCCACCTATTTTTATGCACATTTTGAATTATCGCATAAAAAAACCGCTGGATAGAAATGCCAAGATGCGCATTGAAAAAGTCATGTGACTTTGCGCTATGAGACGGGATAACTTGACTAACCAGCGGACCGATCTCGTTAACAGCATCTATAGCTATGTTGTTTTGGCCATTCTGAAATGCCTGAGCAAAGTCTGTCATCAAAGTATTTCTGTATAATTACTGTCTGACACGACTGCGTTTCCAAACAGCAGGCATCCACCTCTAAAAGCAATGACCGCATTTATCGTGTTACGTCTGCTCTCTCTGAAGCGCAAGTAATTTATTACATATGAAAATTATTATATTCAGTGGCTTCTCCTAGTTTTCTTAGAGATATTTAGTGATATTAGATATTTATAACTTTTTTATAAATAAAAAAATTTGTGTTTTTGTCATTTTTATTATAATTTTTTTAAATTTGTGTATATAGTTTTTATTAATTTGTATTTTCAGTTTCAGTTATTTTAGTACTTCAAGTTAAAATAAAAAAGAGAAATGTTTTCTTGGCAACTGGCTGAAGTAAAATACGTTTTTGTATTTTGTTTTATTTCATTTAGTTAATGTTTGTTTCCTTAGTTTATCAAGAAGTGACGATTTTGTTCTCTTTGACTCGTTGGATGGAAACGGTGCTTTATTGGCAAATGTTTTATGCGATATTCCAGTTTTGCGCATAAGTTAAATTCGCATCTTTAGATGGAAACATAGCTATTGAGGCACCACATTTTTACCGGTAAGAACTTCAGAAAATGTAAAAAATCTAGTTATTTGGTTGTTTTTTGTACTATATTTTTGTTGTTAAGTGGGTTCAGTTTGCATCATGTCAGACGGTGCCACTGTACTGTGGTAAAACCACACAATCTGATACAAGAGATCACTTTCATATCCTGATATATCCAGCTGTTTGAAGATTTTCATATCCAGGTTCAGTGTGATAGACGCTTCAGAAGCCGGAGCAGATCAGCCCGAGCGTTCGAGATCTCGCTCCGCTGCGTGATAATGAAGGAAACGCGTGTCAGGTCGATCCTGAGATTGTGAACGCGTCTGACATTTCTGCAGCTGTGTGATTGATTCAGATGATGAAGCTGACAGCCATTGTTTCCTCCAGAACTGTTCTCCTGGCCGTGATGGTCGAGGTATCGCCTTCATATCTCTGAGCAGACAGTAGACGTCCTCTGACCTTCAGATTTGTAAGGCTTTCACGCTGAACCCGCTGACATCCGAAGCTAAATATGAACGTGAACGCCTCGTTCTGGATATTTGCAGTGGACTGCTGTCAGACACACAGACTGTACCGGAAGAGAAATGCCACATGAATCAAGTGTCTTTGTAGTGTGTTTTCTGGCCTGTTCCTCCTCTTTCTTTCTGTCTCTTCCTGTTCGTACTCTTTCTTATTATTTTTTCCTTATAAATATCTGAATGTTGTTTCATCAGATCAAGAGTCTGTATCTGTGTGGCTCTTTCACTTTTCTTCTTCATGTATTTGTTTTCACCACCATTTGTATTTTTATGTTTTTGTTGTTTTGTCTTTTCAAACCCAACAATGGTCCTTTTGTCAGATGTTTTGCTTGAAAAAAAAGGGCAAAAATATTGATAAGTCATTTTATGTGTCAGTAAAAGTCTGTCACAATGTAGTTGGAAATGAAATAAATCAATAAATATTATTTCAAAAATATTATTTAAATACTTTATTTACTAATACTTTAAATACTTTTTTATTTGATGTATGAAAGAAATCACATTTGTTTCTTTTATAAAAAGATTCAAAGTAAACGATCTAAATGATTAGATTCATAACATGAACAATACAATATATATAATATATTTAATATATACATAATTTTTTTCAAAAACATTAAAAACTTCTTACCAACTATATATATATATATATATATATATATAATTCTGCTCTCCAAGGCCCCATTTATTTGATCAAAATACAGTAAAAATACACTGTAAAAAAATGTAAGTGATGTCAATATATGTTTTTCCATTACCTTAACTTAATCAACATAATTAAACCCATTTTAAGTCATATGGGATTCAACTTCATTTTTAAAAAAATATCAATTGCTGAAATGGGCTTGTACAGCCAGTTTTATTCAACATAATTTAAGGCAGCAACTGTTTTTTTTAACACAGTGCTGTAATATTGTGAAATATTAGTTTTCTATGTGAATATATTCTTCAAATGTAATTTATTGCTGTGATCAAAGCTGAATTTTCAGCATCATTACTGCAGTCTTCAGTCGACTCATTTCTGTCGTCACACTGTCTAATATTTTTGGAGTCGATGTCTCTTGTTCCTGTATTGTGTCTAAATATCCCATTATCTGTGCAGACAGTAATGATGGTCCGTCAAAAGTAATAAAGTGAGTGTCCGGTCAGCGCAGGCGTCTGCGGGAGGCGGCGGGTCTCAGCGAGGCGTGTGTGTGTGTGTCTCTGTGTGTGTGTGAGAGTGTGTGTGTGTGTGTGTGTGTGTGTGTGTGTGTCTGTGAGTGTATGTGAGAGAGTGTGTGTCTGTGTGTGTGTGTGTCTGTGTGTGTATGTGAGAGAGTGGTTGTGTGTGTGTGTGTGTGAGAGAGTGTGTGTGTGTGTGTGTGTGTGTGTGTCTGTCTGTGAGTGTGTGTGTGTCTGTCTGTGTGAGTGTGAGTGTGAGAGTGTGAGTGTGTGTCTGTCTGTCTGTCTGTCTGTCTGTCTGTGTGTGTGTGTGAATGAATGCTGCTCACTGATGAAGCCGCCGGTCGGGTCATTAATCTACAGCAGTGTCTGTAGGACGAGGACAGGAGGGAAGGTGGTTAGTGGTTCTTGATGCCCGCGGCGCTGCTCTGCTGAGGCTGTCGTCTTCATTTTATGCTCCTTCGGCTTGATTGGGACGCTGCGTTCCAGCTGTGGCCGTTTCTCTGTGCTGTCGGGATGAAGGGCGCATGAAGATTGAAGATGTGCAGCTTTATTTCAACATCTCTGCTGAGAAAAAAGACACACGAGAGTGTCGTACCTCAACCAGACTGAAGCTCATCCGTGTTAAACTGCAGCGCTGAGCTTTATGGTTCAAATCATCTTTCTCTGAGTGATTAAAACATATATAATGTAGTGTAAGTTTAAGTCTATTGCATTACTTTATCATGAATATATATACTGCATTAATGACATTATATATACAAATATATTTATATATTTGTGTTTTTGTCATTTTTATTATTATTATTTTTAATTTGCGTATATAGTTTTTATTAACTTTTATTTTCAGTTTCAGTTATTTTTGTACTTCAAGTTAAAATAAAAAAGAGAAATGTTTTCTTGGCAACTGACTGAAGTAAAATACGTTTTTGTATTTTGTTTTATTTCATTTAGTTAATGTTTGTTTCCTTATTTCAAGTAACAGTTGTTGTTTTTTCTCAGTTGGCTGACTTTTTACTTTTTGTTTTTTTGTTTTTTTCAAAAATGTAAAGTTAAATAAATAAAATAAACTTGTTTTACTAACAAAAAAAGTTAACTGCAAAAACTGTTATAATAAACCATGGCCCCCAATATATGACACATTACCTGCTGAATTTAATTATTTGAATAGTGGGTTTTTAATAATAAATAATTAGATATTTTTAACAGAGCAGGATTTTTATATATATATACAGTATATATAATTCCATTAAAGAATATCTGGAATCTATAATGTTCTAACTATGCCAAGATAGTGTGTTCAGGTCACAGTAAGTTCCTCCGGCCGCAGATAAGAGCGTCACTCCCTCCCTGTGTGTTTGTGTGTTTAATCTCTCTCGCAAAGGCATTATTCAGCTGTTCTTCTCATGTGTGCCGTCTCTGTGATTAGCCTCTAAAACACCCATCGCAGTATCAATCTTCACAGTGTGGTTTTTGTGGCTCGACATAAGGCTGCATGATTAATTGAAATAAAACTGAAATTGTGAGCTGGCTTATCGCAGCAAATAAAAATCTGTTTCTGAGTGAAGCGCGGCACTGTGTTCATTTACACGTGAGCAGCTCATGATCCGGTGTTTTCAGCAGCTCGATTCTCTGCATCTGCTCTGAGTTTGACACGCTTTATTGTGCGTTTGACAACACAACATGTGCCAGACCATCTTTACAAAACTTGTAAACTGGCTGTTGACAGCCAAAGAGAAGCTTTAAAGTGCCCCTATTATGCCATTTTTAAGCTTCCTAATATTGTTTTGGGAGTCTCCTACAATAGGCTTACATGCATGCAAGGTCAAAAAACGCTTTAGTTTTCTCAAAATATGCATTTAATATCACCTCATTTTCAAAACGATTTGTTTGAAGCAGTTCTGAGATTCAGTCTCTCTAAACCCCGCCTTTCTGTGAGCCTGCTCTGCTCTGATTGGTCAGAAGGCCCAGTCTGTTGTGATTGGTCTACCGTGTACAGCGTGTGTCGGAAACGATACGCCCATTGCAATAGTTCCATATTTTGAACGCTCAATAGAAAATATAAACATCTATTATTTATCATACTTACAGATTGTGATTCAGTGGAGCAGCTGGTCCAAATAAACTGGGTACTGAGTCATCTCTCAAGAGCAAGCGTTTGTGAATCCTGCGTTGAACTCCCTGAGATTAGAGAAGCAGTCGTCAGTAAAATGACGGGAACACAAAAAAAGATTAAACACTGCATGAAAGTCAATATTCGAAATGGCATAATAGGGGCACTTTTATAGAATCCCTGCTGTTTTCCATCAAAATAAAAGCTTGATGGTTTAACATGTGAAAGTAAAGGAATTAAAACACCAGTAAATGTTGGAGCTGTAATTTTACTATTTTACTATAAAATAAAATTATTGTATTATTTTTCTTAAATACTAATTTTTTTTTTTACAATGAAATATTACAATAGTAATACTTTAAATTGTGTTTAATATTTAATATTTATTTTTATTATTATTATTATTTTATAGTCATATTGATATATATAATCTTTTTTTGTGTGTGTGTCAATTTGTAAAGACCCACAAATAAGTAAAGCAAACTTGGATATTTTCTTTTTAAATCACAGTTGAAATTTTTATATGAAAAATCACAATTATATTTTTTCCCAAATTGTGCAGCCCTTCTTCAACATCAGGAATAACAGGAAAAGCAGAGATGATACAATGATTGGTTTTCGTTCAGCTCATCTCCACTGCTGTTTTCTGTGGGTTCATCATGTGTGTGAATGTATCGAGAGAGAGAGAGTGTGTGTGTGTGTGTGTGTGTGTGAGAGTGAGGGTTTGACTATAAAGTGTGCTGCTTATAGAATAACTCAAACTAAAGCCAGGAGAGGTGAACGACACATGAAGGCTTGAATTGATGAAGGAGGTTTATTATGGAAATCAGCGCTTGTTGACGTGACTGTTTGTTCGTTCTCTGCAGAACTTGCTGTTGAATCACGGATGAAGATGATGGTTGGTGCTGAAGAAGAGGAGCATTGTTAGAGGATGTTTGTGTGTGTGTGTGTGCGGTATCAGGATTGTGTTGGTTTGTTGAGCTGATCTTCATTTACTGTGAGCAAATAAAGTCTCTTCAGCGTCTGTTTCTCTCTTCAGTCTCTCATTACTCTGTCAGCTTTCCAAACAGTGACTGTGAAGAGTGTTCATCAGTCTGAAACTTTATAATGGAGGCAAAAAAATGCCTTTGTTCACCGCCGTGTGTGCTGAGTAAATGCATTTTCTCACAATATATAAATCACTAATATTTCAGTATAGTTGATGCTTTTTTGAACACAAATCTCTAATATTTCATTATAGTTTATGCCTTAATATTTCATTATTGATGCATTTTTAAATCTGTAATATTTCAGTATAGTTTATGCATTTTTAAATCACTAATGTTTCATTATAGTTGATGCATTTTTAAATCTAATATTTCAGTATAGTTTATGCATTTTTAGATCTAATATTTCAGTATAGTTTATGCATTTTTAAATCACTAATGTTTCATTATATTTGATGCATTTTTTTTACAAGCAAAATTTATATCAGTAATATTTGCTTCAGCTGTGTAAGATAATAAAGGAGATCTACAGGAATTGGCATTAAGATCATGTAACAATCTTTGCATCATAGATTTACATCTACTCGGTCGCTTGCTTTTTATACTTTGACTCACTTTTTCTGGCATTTGCAAACACGGGTTTGATTTGTGAGATAAATATGAGTCTGTGAAATACGACAGATCCGTGTTCTGTGATAATTGAGTGTTTCATGAAGTTCAGAAATAGATGTGTTTCCTGCGAGAGGTGGAATGAGTGTCTGTTTCCTCAGGGATCGATAACAGATCTCTCCATCCAGGCGCCATCATTCCAGTGGCGTGTGACTTGATTTCCATGCATTGCTTCTCTGTGCGTCTCTGGCACAGACTCACACTTGTGTTTATGAGGAGCGGATGCTCAGGAGAGGACGGTGGTTTGTGTGCTTGTAGTCATGGTAACGCTGGTGGAGACGGATGAAGATAACAGGTTGGAAAATGTAATCTGGCGTTCCCGATGTACTGTATTGATCTCCATCGCCGCGTGTGAATCACAGAAAGAGAGTGTTAAACACTGATTCAAACTGGCACCTGCAGACAGGGCCGCATTAAGACCGCACTGGGCCCTGGGGCTATGACTTACTGCAGGGCCCCCCATCACAATAATGATATATATATATATATATATATATATAGGGTACAATGGGGCTAAAGGCCCACCTTAAGAAAAAAATGTGCCATTCACTGCGCCTAAAATGTATAATTGCAGAAAAAATATATACGTAGTATTGAACATTAATGGAGCAACAGATTTTGTGTGAAAAATCATTCAAGTTGTTTATTTTGTTTAAAAATCTTATAAATGTATGAGGTGACAAGAGGGGCCTTTTACCCCACACACCAGCACGGGGTAAAAGGCACACGGTATTTATACAATTACTTCAGCTAAAATAATGTTGTTGTTTTTTAAATAATGTCTAAGTTAATACTTGTTCAAAACAATCACTTTAGCAAAGTTTGTACTATTTTCTGTTTATTTTGAAAAATAAAAGTATTAATTTTTTCCCCCAATAAATATGCTGTCATTAAAATGTGTTAATATAAAAAATATATTTTAAAATACAGAAACAAAATCGTTTTAATCGTTTTAAACCTTTATTGTATTACTCTCAATATTATAAGTGAAATTGTCATTTCAAAAAGGTTTAATTTACTATGGAATTTTTATTCTAATTTATTTGCATATGTCATGAGGAGAGAATGAGCTGAGTGTAAAACTTCATTCACAGCCCGAAGCTCAGAAACAGGCGCAAAATTATCAAATGCAAATGAAAGTTTCTCCACAGCAGGTGCAAAATGCCTTCAAACCATGAGAAAATGCAAAAAACTGAGCTGTTGTAGATCCACACACACACACGGCGACAGTCAAGTGTCTGTAAAACTCTCAATAAGCATCTGTCAGAAGGGTTAGGGTGTGTGTGTGTGTGAGAGTGTGAGTGTGTGTGTGTGTGTGTGTGTGAGTGTGTGTGTGTGTGTGCACCTGGTATTCATCACGTTATGGGGACCAAATGTCCCCACAAGTATAGTAATACCAGTAAATTTTGACCTTGTGGGGACATTTTTGAGGTCCCCATGAGGAAACAAGCTTACTTATCATACAGAATGAGTTTTTTTGAGAAAGTAAAATAGCACAAAGTTTCCTGTAACGGGTAGGTTTAGGGGTAGGGTTGGTAAAGGGCAATAGAATATACGGTCTGTACAGTATAAAAACCATTACGCCTATGGAATGTCCCCATAACGTGATGAATACACAACATGTGTGAGTGTGTGTGTGTGTGTGTGTAAGAGAGTGTGTGTGTGTGTGCACGTGGTATTCAT